GCTAAAGTCAGGGTGATAGAGCAGCTCTTCACGCAGCATGTGTAGACTGTGACTGCAGGTGATGTCTAGGGCAGTGATAGCCAGCTAGATTAGATGGGCAGCATGGTGCAAGGCAGCTCATCAGTCATCAATCAATCCAGGGGCAATACAGTTCTCAGAAGAAGGCAGTCAGGAGTGCAGACTGCCTCCCTGTTGCTCCAGTTCAGTTTCTCCTGCAGAATGTCACAACAGGCATTTTCACCACATCAGACACAGGGAGACAAAAAACCCCTGCTTTCCAACAGCCAGTTATTAGAATTGCATTAGGATTAGTAACTGGTTCTTTAACAACAGAACTCTTAGGGCACATGGTTTGACCTGAGGTATTTTTAAATGTTTCCAATTAATAAGGAATGGTAAAGAAATGTGAAGATATTTGTTAAAAAGTTGCACAGACCCACTGTTAAACTTACCATGTCTGACTGGATTTCTAACACAAGTTTGGATGACACACCTGCCAGCTTTGTACTCAGGTTCAAAAAAAAACATAGTTCAGAGAAGTATCACCTCTAGCGAGAAGTGGAAGGGGGACAGTGTTTAGGGGTGGATTAGGCACTTTGCATTTGTCTTCCACCCAAGCACCTCCCCTGTCCCTTGATGCAACTGCATTCTGGAGGGAACTACTCCAAGCTATAGATGTGAGATAGAAAAGGTGGAGATTTCCCAGCACCTCAGCAGGTTTATGCCAGTAGCTATTGTGGCACTCAGATCTACTGTGTTTGTCTTGACCAACTGGATCTATTCTTTTCAGAATCGATATGTATGTGGAAGGAATGTTTGATCTGAATGAGCTACTCATGAACTATGATTTCGAACCAGCAGATAAAAAGGAGCAACTTTTTGCTAATATGATGGACAAGGCCGCAAACAGATACTTCCCAGCCTTTGAGAAGGTGTGTGGCAAGGACAAGTGTATAATCTATGACCTTGCTTTGAAAATATTATATTAAGCAACAATCAAAACATCATCTGCTTCTCTGTTTTTAGGTTTTGAAAGACCATGGACAAGACTTTCTTGTTGGCAACCAGTTAAGCAGGGCAGATGTGCAGTTACTTGAAATCCTTTTGATGGCAGAAGAGTTCAAGCCTGATATACTTGCCAAATTTCCTCTCTTGCAGGTAAATGAATGGACAGTTTTAATGGACAATGAATTGGAAAGGACCGCTGATTTAAACTGGCTGAGAATCAGGGGAGAGTGGGAGGGTGAGAAGTGACATCCAAAATTATCAAATATCCTAAGTAGTTTTAGCTGTCCTCAAACACTAATGGGTATGACCACCTTCTGACTTTGCAGCCACAAATGCATAATAGAGGGAAGCCTGTAGTTTCTTCTGCTGCATCAATGCATGATGTTACTTTTAGAGGTTGGATAACATCAAAATGTCTGACAGTTACAATGCTGCTTAAGCACAGTGCTGTTTTGGTTTTGTTTTGTAGCGTTTTAAAGCAAGAATAAGCAATATCCCCACAATAAAGAAATTCCTGCAGCCTGGCAGCCAGAGGAAATCACCAGTGCGACCAGAAGATGTACCCAAAGTGCTGGCAATTTTCTCCTGAGCAGCAGCCTAAAGCCACATTTCACTGTGTTTGCTGATAGTGGCAAAAGGAATGAATGAAAAGAGTGGAAAGGTTTTGGATCTCTCTTTCCTTAGCTACAGAACTGGTTTGAGCCTACTGCAAATACTTCCAAGGGAAATCTATACGAGCATACCAGTAGATGGAATAGTTCACTGATTAGGGAGTAGATTGGACAACACAAGATATCTTAAGTTACTAAAGAGAATACCTGAAATAAAGTCTTACTGTTGACACTCACGCCCAGGATGTTAATTGTCTTCTTGATGCTACTTACATGCCTAAGGGCTCTCTGGTTCTGGCATTCCTAAGAATTGCTGGAAAATGATGAAAGTTTAGCCCAAACAGTGGGTGATGTATTTGTTCTGGGAAATGCCAGGAAAAGCATGCAGGTTCTGGTTAGATAGGGATGACAGGTTAGGATTTGGCTTTCCCCTGAGCTTCACTTGGAGGACGCTGGGACCAGAGATCCTATTGCACCTCTGTTTTGTGACTGGACATATTACAGCTTCACCAATATTTCCTTTAACTAAAGGTCCATTGTAGCAGCTAAAAGCAGTTTGCAGACTTGATTGAGTGTGCTTGTCACTAACTGTGAAGTTTAAAACTTGTATCTTTAAAAGAAATGCCATGCATCTGCCATCAGTCCTTATTATCAAAAAAGGAATAAAAAAGGAATAAACTCCAGCGTTTTTCTTCAGGAAAGCATGTATGAAACAGAGGTGTTGCACGAGCGATTTCTCTCCCTCCTCACTGAGGCTTTCAGGCAGCACTTGCAGCTGCTGTGCATTGTCAGAAATTCAAGGCAGTAACTTGGGTCGTGGCTGCCGACTCTGTGCAGTGCAGTCTACAGGCCTGGCCTGGCAGTTCCAGGATCCTGAGCACAGACCCCCTTGGGCCATGCAGAGCCAGAGCCCCCAGCACACCAACCATCTGGCAACCCAATCATGGGGCTGCAGCCCCGGCCTCTCCCCAGTCACAACATCCCTGTGACCTCACTGCCGCCTCGGGGGCCTCCAAGCCTGTGCCCTGCCTGCTCCTGACCCGGCCATGTCCCTGAGGTGCAGCCACCTCAGAACCAGCCCAGGGGAAATGCTGCTCAGAAAAACTGGATTTGTTACCCGGTGTGCAACTGGCCAATAGTTACATGATCGAGAGAGACCTGGATCATTTATTTCAGAGCTGTGCAAGCCTGGGTGCTCGCTGGTATTCCACAAAACAAGTACATTCACTGTCAACACTTTTTACTATTTATACGCTTTAGCAATCAAAGGCATTCATATTCTTTGTCTATAAGTTACATGGTTCTCCTAATCATTATTATTTCATCTTCTACTGGTTACTGATTCCCTCACTTCTCTTGCTAACTAGTCCAGATGTTCAGTCTCCCTCTTCTTTTGGGTCAGTGGGTTTCTTGGCTCAGGGGACCATGAGTTGGTGGTCGTGATCTCCCCCTGCCAGACTTACCTTTTACCCAGTTGGAGCTGATTCAGCACAGTCGCTAAGTTGTCTTTATTAGTTTCTTCCTTATCTCGGGAGTTCTGCCAAATGTCCTTGTGGCCCATAAATTCTGCATTCTTTGTATCCACTATGAGCAGAACATCCTTCTCTCCAAGCTTTGCTAACACCCTGCATAGGTCTGAGATCACTGAAACCGGCTGGGCCCTAAACCTTAACAAGGCCATTCTACCAACAAGTAATTTTTCTTTCACTTAGAGGTGGCTTCTTAGCTGCCACCTGTTTCATGGATTAAATTTCCTTTCCTGTTGATTAGGCTTGAAAGGGTAGAAAGATCAAACATCAGAGAACATCCTTTTGTTGGAAAATGTTTACATATTCCGCATTTTGCAACACACACAGCTGCTCCACAAGACTCCAGGGACAGGGCCGAGACGGCTTTTCCGTCAGCCCTGGTCGTAGGGCTTAGGGATGGAGCTTGACAGCGGGAAGCCGGGACAGCTGTGGCCGGGCTGTCCTCCAATTGCGGGGCTGGCAGTGGACACAGCCCGGCCGCGGAGGCAGCCGAGGGGAGGAGCGGCCGCCTCCCGGGGGCCGGCGTGTTGGAGGGGGCCGGGCGGGCAGGCGGGCCGTGTGGCGGCGCTGCCCGGGCGGTGCGGGCGCTGTGGCGGCGGAGCGGCCCGAGCACACGGAGCACACGGTACTGGGGCTCGGGGCTCGGCGGGGTTGTGGGTCTTGCCGGGAGGGCAGAGGGAAGGTGCGTGGCGGACCGATGGACACTCGAGAAACGCGCTGGAGTGTCCGGCCGTGCTGCTCCAGGGAGTTTGTGCAGGGGTTATTCCCCAGCGTCTCTCCTGCAGCAGGGAGCTCGGACGGGCGGGTGCTTGTGCATGTTCGCTGAGTAGGTTCAGCAGGTATCCTGAAGAAGAACTGCTGTTTGGAGTGCAGGTTTTACAATCTCTGGGAGTAATTTGCCTTTTATCTCTTCCAGACACTCCTCCTGGCCGGCGGCGGTGAAGGAACGCATTTTGAATCCAGGCTTGTCCTGAGTCCCAGTGGAAACCAGACGCCGGTAAGCAGTTACAGTTTTAAGACAGTCCGGAGGCCGAGCCGGGCTCGATGCAGTGCTGTACGGGCTGAGTTTGAGGAGCATTGCTGCGGAGAACTACTTCTGGGTCCATATCCAATTAAGAAGAAAATTTAAGATTTTGGAGCAGATTATGAGCTTATTGTTAAATTCACTTGCTTGTATCTCATTAGAAAGCTAGTGCCTGAATTGTTCTGGACAAAATTGCATGGGTTTTTTTGTTTGTTTTAATACAGTGATCACAGCAGTAGCAGTACCTGCTTGGCTGAGGTCCAAGGAAGGTCTAATGCCCTAAAACATCAGGAAAATATGAGATTCATTTTCAAGTCTATTATTCAAGAAAGATAATTTACCAATTTTGCTACTCTTTCATGACTTACTGTTTTATAAATGGATATGCAGTAGAGAGCCATAACTGGGTCACCAAAATACCTTGCAACCCTATGTATTTGTTCAGCCTAAACCCCAAAGTCAGGCCTAAGGCAGTGTATTTCCAGGAAGATAAGAGGTTTTTCTTATCCAAACAAAAAGACTCAGCCCTTGGCCAATCTGCAAAAGGAACTGTGATGAACAAATATGGGTGATGTTGACACCTGAAATTTTTTTCACTGACACTTATTCTGCTCTTCAGCTTTCCCAGCTGTCTTGAGCAGAGTATTGGGCTGACAGCAGCAAGCAGAGCTCTGACTGGGCTGAGTTTTATCAGCTTCACCTCTGCTTTGGGGAACAGTCAGGGAAATTTGCTCTTTCTGCAATGCTAGCCTGTCATTAAAAGTGTGTTTCCCAGGCTTGATCCCACATGCTGGAAGTTAGAATACTTGTCCAGTTTGTGAAGGTCCAAGTGCAGTTCTTAAGTATTTTTGAAATATGGAAGGCTGAGAGCTCTCTTACTTGGTATAGCATAATTCACACACATACAGGAACTAGAAATGGAACATAAGTCATGGTCTTCTGTGGGTAGGATCTGGTAAGGGAGCTGTGACAAGTCACTTCTCTGAATGCCTTATTGCTGTTCAGATGTCAGGAATCTAGCTAGACATCCAGCAGCTGCAGACTGGATGCCAAATCCAGTCAAGACATAATCAAGTCCTTATTATCAAGCATATATTTTTTTATTAGGAGAACTTTGTTACAAGAGACTGAGGTGTCAGGGGATACAGATGTTGCCAGGGCTAGGTGGGAGCTGAGCCATTGCTTTTGAAGACCTGAAGTTTGGACAGAGGCACCACATTTCTCCTGTGACTCCAGTCCCTAATAGAGCAATTGCTATTTGCTAAAGGGCCTGAAGATACCACTCAACACGAAGAACTTCAGTGGAGAGGGCCAGGGATGCTGTCTTCCCTCTCACTGTTGTGCTGTTTGTTTGTGCCTCTTTATTGATGCCTTTGGGATTATGGCCAAAATTTCCATATTGTGGCTCAATTATGTATTGTTAAGTCTACGCAAGGATAAATAAGCCTGCCTGTAAATAGATAAAACCTTGGCTTAACAATGAAGCATTCTGTTAGTCTGTGACTCTGTCCTCTAATGAAATCTGCCTCATTCATCTGGGACTCATTAGTGATAAGAATACAATGATAGCTTTGTTTCCAGCACTGGGCAAGCTCACATCAGCTGCCGATGTCATACTATGGCATGTGACTGCATGTGTTGGGGAAATTTGAAAAGACAAAGTGTTTTATTCCATTGCTATCATCTGGTGGGCTGACTTCAGCCCCCTGCTGCTGGGGGCATTATCAGGCCTTATCTGCCGAGCAGAGGTCACTGTCCCATTTGTTTGGTTTCGATTTTCAGGTTTAGTTTTTGGAGCAAATAGGGTATAAATCCTTGTTACAGTTTAACTGTAACAGAACTAGCTAAATAGAGAAGTGAGCAGGCCTGATGAAATACATTGCTTTTAAAAGCTCATATTTGTAAAGGCACGGAAATATAGGGCTCTGAATTGTCCTATGAGAGAGGTGAAACCTGATGTTGCTGGGTTGGTGTTCTTTGGAAGCAGTTCATTTGACATACATTTTCAAGTTTGATATGATATGGATGCTGTCACAAAACCCGACACCTACTAAAGATATTGCATCACTGCAAGGTTAAAAATGTGTTTATTCAGGAATATCTTACAGTTCTGCTTTGGTTGTAAAACTCTTAAGAGCTGTAAAAACTACATGAATATTTTTGAAGATAGGTATAGGGTTTAGTAGATGCTTGTTATGTTCTGTCATGATGCGATTTTGAATTGTTGCATATTCTGGTAGTGTGTACCTTTTCTTTTATTCCATTAATCCACAGAAAACGTAGTTGCATCAAGCCCGACTGTCTTGGCCTTGATTACTCTACTTTCACATTCATCCAACTGTTTTAAGTAGGCTGAAGTGGAACATTTTAAATGCTAATTTAAAACATTCTTCCTGTAAAATCATCATCTTGAATTTATTAGGAAACAAGAACTCTGAAATCATGGCGGGGAAA